CCAGAAATAAACGTTTAAATATACCCTTCATCTCTTTCCATTTTATTTATTTTTACATTTTTTTTTTTTTTTTTTTTTATTGGCTTTGAATTTTAACAACGATAACTTGAAATTCTTGTAAAATGTACTAAATGAGCTTGTTTTTATAGTAACTACTAATTATCTTTAAATTAGTAACAACGTTTTTAAATGAGTATCCGGATTTTTTTTAAGACTTTTACATCCATATACAATATTAAATAAAATGTAAGTAATTAGTTAACAAAAGAGTTAAATAGTAGAATAAATTTTATCTAAACATGATATTTTACATAAACTTTATATTAAAAATAGTTATTTAACAATAAAAATCTAATAATTTATCATTTTAAATATAAATATGTATATGTATATTTAGATAAGTTATTCACATAATCAGTAATTTATTTATTTTAATAATTTAATACGATGATTTATTTTCAGTTTATTTTATAAAATTTAAGATGGGAATTATAAAAATATATTACTCGTTAGTTCATTGTAATTATGTGTAAATATTTTGACTTAAAAGTATACATGGATTACATCTAGCCAATGGAACAACAATATCAATAATCAAAATTAATTGTTTAAAATCTCAGATAACGTTAATTATAAATTATCAGTGACTTGTTACGAATTAGAACTATTATTGTAAAATTATTGTATTATAAAGCATTATTTTATCACTCATCTTGCAGTTCATGCATCAAAGAGATAAACAAGTTTCACCAGGAAAGGTACCTACAACCTAACTATATAGAATCGTATTAAACCTTCTCAATACTGAAAATCAAATATTTATCTATTTATAAATTTAATTGTTTTACATAATTATTATCAATAATCATATACTTTTTATACTAAACTAAAAAAAACAATAAATTATTTCATATTCAACTAATTGGTGTATGCCGTATGTTAATGATATATAATAAAATAATTAATATTCTAATTATTTATATTATTTCAATAGTTACTATAACTAATCATTAATTTAGTTATTTCCGACCGTTATAAATATATATTTTTTTATACTAATTAACATATATATGGTAGCTAATTATTTTGTTGTCAAGTATTAAAAAAAATAAAAACTACATAAGAGATATAAGAGTATTTTAAAATTTGACTGTTGCTATTTAGTTTAAGTCAATGGATTTTTACTGAATAGAATATTTTTTTAATAATTAATTATTCATAATTATTAATATGATTATCTATAAATATAATATACACACATAGACATATACTCAATAGGTACTCATGAACGTCAAATGTATATATCACAGATAAATAATGTAATATAGGTAATCAATGAGTGTCATGCGAAATGGAGATGATAATATTATAATACTAGAGCGAATAATTGATTGAGTTATGAGCCTATGAGTATGTAAATATTATAATATAAAATGATCATAACTCAATTGAAAATACTTAAAAGCTCAAAGTTCAAACACATATAATTTTTTTGGCTATAATTTTAATAACGATTCGATTTAATGTTAAAGCTAACAAATACACAGTTGGTACTACTCGACACTTATTTATTATAATGCATCGTTGTATAACGGAAAAAAATCAGGATTATATCTAAAAATATTTGGGTATCTTGTAACTATTATAATATGTAGCTCCAATAAGACCTGAACTATAAGCTGGTTGGGAACTTTCAAACATTGTTTGAAGTACAGTTATTATCAAAACATACCTAAATAATATATTAAGTGTAAGTATAAGTAAATATATTAGAAAATAAAAAAATAATATTTTTCACCAACATTAAAGCATATATACCGACTAAAAATCATACTAAGCTGTTATTTATGACTACATGAATAAAAAATAGTCGACAAAAACAATGTATGGTCCGAAATGGATACCATCAAGCTATATTTACGACTCTTCCGTGATACAGTATGGTAAATACTCGCTATTCAGAACGCTATGCAAGTATATGTAAATAATGATTCAAAATTTAACGTTGACTTATGAAACAGTGCTGCGCATTGACGATAACTGATAATGGCGCGTATCGCTTGTCCAACTAATATAGCTATTGCAGTACCGCGTATAATGTTTATTATTATTCGTATGAGCTCGAGGTAGATACCTGCAGTTCCGGTTGTCACACCATGACACGCATATAACTTATTTATTTATTTGATTATACTAACAGTAGTTGATTATGATATGAGATATACAATCTATAATAAATAACATGAGCATAGTTGAAAACAACAGTGTGTATTTGAAGAAAAAAAGTACTAATCGTGGTTGACACGAAAAATCTCGAATAGTGCCAAATTTATGATTTTGGTGTTCCTGAATTCAGAAAATAATAATAACCTACAGTTTTATAATATAAACTACGTGTTATCATCTATCGCCATTGTAGAATTAATGAAAAATAATAACAAAAAAATTCCTATGTGATGCCTGCTATAAATTGTTTATGAAATACCTTCTTTGTGGTTATAAATTGATAACATAATACCAACTATCATTTAAATAACTCCCCATGTTGTGTTGGCAAAAAAATATAAATTCTAAGTTATAAAAAAACCTCAAATATGGCAAAAAATAAACAATTTATACAATATTCCCAAAAATATTGAATTTTTACTCTAATTTGTTTTTAGCATAAGATTTGAAATTTTAAAATTTGTTTCTGCAAATCATTGGTAATTTTAATTTTTAATTTTCAAATGGAAACACTTATGTATTAGAATACATTAAACAGTGTATAAATAAAGTATAGTTATACGCAGTGGCGTATTTACGGGGAGTGGGCCCACTCTTCAAAAAAAGTATATATAATACAGGGGCGATTTCAGAAAAAATTGTGGGGGGATGTAGTCTTTGAAATTGCCGACTAAAGAAATTTTGCTCTTTCTATTCTTTTTTTATCTAATCACCTTTTCTATGTTTTTTTTATTTGATAACCTTTTTTTTCCTTTCTATGCATCCACTCCCCCCATGAAAAATTCCTATATCAGCCCTTGTCAACCCCTCCCCCCAAAAAATAGTTATAAATAAACCACTCGGTATACCTAGTTAGAAGACCTGGAGTAAATTATATGGATCACTCTGTGTATGGATTATTTATGAATATAAAGCAGGTGAGGTTTTATAATTCAAAACATTTTACTGGCAAACAATAATACATTATTACATTTATGTAGTTAACAATAAAATAATCTTTAAACAAAAAAAAAAAAAAAAATGTTCAACTATATCATAAATTATGATATAGATAAAACAACTGATAAAAATAAAAACCCTTAGTTTCAATGTGCAAGTAAGCAATATTTCAACAATCACGTCATATTTATACGAGAAATAGTTATTTTTTAACGTTAGACTTTGAATACTTTTGAATAATTCAATTAGAAGCTATCCATACCAAAGTATTTAAAATTAGAAACTACCTTTACATGTATTTATACTCATATTTAAATACCTACAAAGGTTATGTGACGTGTAGTTGCATAGACTTTCTTTCAAATATTTCAAATACTCTTTAAAGGTATTTTTTACAAAAATGTTCTATAAAATAATGTAATATGCTGTAAGTTTTATATTCAGTATCGTTGTAAGTATCTTCCAATGTTATAATAATTGAACACAGTGTTTACCCTTATAAATGAAAGTAACTGCCTAGTTACTTTAAGTAAAACGTGTAATGATAGTGGTAACCATGAACTAATAATAATTTGAAATCATTTTATTAGTAAATATTTCTTATGAATGAAATAACTTGTTTGAAAATTATTATACAGAGAACAGGTTTAAAATATTTAGGATACGATTTTGGTCCTAATCAGATTACATTATAATATTAAATTTAAATAATAGAGCATGGATATCAACGCATAGTGCATTATTTTTTTGAGTGGTTTAAGTCGAAAATTCAGTTTAAGTACACTAAAGCTACTTAGGTAGCTATACTTATTTAACTACTTAAAGGTAATACTTTTATTTTATATTTTATTGTATTTCTTTTAAATTATTCCTCCTTTTTTAGACATTTTTTATCATTTTTATGGAACTGAATTAATTTTTAGAACATAAATATAAATATTACACCTTGCGAGTTTTTAGTGTAAATTAAAGCATTTAAAATATTATAAGTATCTAGAAATATTGTTTTTATAATATTCATTTTAATAGTTTTTGGATATTTTTTATTTGTACCAAATGACAATTGGTATTTCCATAAATACGTTTAAATACTAAACATTTTATTTGTTTTTTGTATTAAACTCATATTGTTAGATTAAATACGGATTAAATTTATAGAAAACAATATAAATAATATAATATAACATGAATTATAATTATTATAGTTAGTCTGATTTATTATTAATTTAAAACCTATGTACGTTAGAAACTTACACATGTCTATGAAACGTTGTGCTTATTAATTACTGTACAACAGTAATAAATTATATGATTCGTAAAAGATAGTTCAAGCGTCACCATGAATGGCTTCTTCTATCAGATAATAGTTTCACTGCCGTTTAATTAAATTATCGACCATGTATTCTTATTGTGCTTCAGAACACAGATTACACATTTCTTAAAAAATAAGTTGAGCCAACCGGCTACTATTTACAGACGTCTTTATAACAAACAATTCAACAGAGGTATATCTAATTAATTTAATTATTTTCTATAAATATTGGCTATTTAAAAAATCAACCGATATAGTATAGATATAATATTGTGTCGCATAAGTGTATTATTAATTGAACAATTACATGCACCGGGCATTTAAATTTAACAAATTGTTATTATTGCATTACATTTATATCTATATCGTATGTTTAGTGGTGACCACGGTGGAATATTTAAGTGTTGTTTTTAGCGTTCGGAGGTCGCGAACCGGAGCGCAGAATCGAGAAACTATCCCACGTTCGGGTGGCGTCAAACACGGAGACCGGCATAGCCAGCTAGTGAATCACAAATCTCCGTAGAGTGTGTAACGGCCGCCGTTGCGGTTGCGATTTTCCGTTCGCTGCGGGGTAAAAAAAAAAATAATAAAAAAAAATTAATAATTTGAAAATAAAATAAAAATATTATTTCGATCGTATTGTCAGTGCGGGATGCGTGTTATTGCTGAAAAAAATAATAATAATTAATATTCCGTACTTATTTGCAATTTTTTTTTTTTTTTTATGTTTAGTTTGGTTTAAATTTAAACAAATTGATCAGTAATGTAATCGTTTACCATCATCATAATATATTGTTATTATTATTTCGGCATGATGAAATTTCTGTTGAACGTCAAACGTCCGGACTTAAAATAAAATAATAATAAATAAGGATCATACGACATGTGTACAGTGACTGGTGGATTTATACAGTTGAGCACTTTGTGCTTTTGGATAATCGCTATAGCCAATTGCCAAGGTATGATAATATACGATTTAATACTTACATTAAATTAATTATAGTGAAAAGGTTGATAAATCATTAACTATTATTATTGTTTTTCTTTCTTTTCTTTTCTTTTTTTTTTTTTAATTTCATAAATAATCTTATTTTATACATTTTTTTAAATTAGAAATTTTATACTTAATTAAAAATGTATTTTAGATTAAATTTAATATTGTTCTAAATAAATATAAAACTAGTTTTTTATTAAAATTTGTAGGTAATTTTAATTTTTTTAATCTTTCTTATAAATATTTTTTATTTATAGACAAGTAAGGTTCAAATTCAATCTAATATAAAAGTGTATTATTTTTCACCAATAAAACGTTTACATTGGATAATTCGTATATTTACATATAATTTATAAATTCTTTTAAATGCTCTGAAAATTATAATACAAATTAATTATGATTGATTTTTAACTATAATACATAGGGAATTTTTTTTTAAATTCCTACTCTTAAATATAATTACTATTCATATCATAATATAGTATATTAACATTGTAGACTATAACCAATATATTTTAGATTAATTCTTACAATTAATACACTTAATTAATACATTGATTTGTTGATAATTGTATCATCAATTTAACATGTGTAGACTAAGTAAAATTGTTAAATTTATTATTATAACGATAACTTTGTTCTATGTACATTACAAATGTTATGAGGTATACGAGATATAGGTTCATTTAAAAATGGAAACAGTATAATTAGTGGTATATTATAGATTTTTTAATTTATTCCATAGAAAGGCAGGTATGAGTAAAATAAATATTACGCACAGAACTTATTTTAATTAAAATGAATAATACTAATATTTAAAAATTTAGTTATACATAAGACAGTCTATCATGAATAATACACAATAGAAATCATATAAAATTTACAGGTCACGTAATAATCATTACATATTAGAGACATATTAACTGGTATCATTAAGTTTATAATATAAAACATGTTCTTATAATTAATAATTTTTTTAAAGTATATTATTAAACCTAGATAATTTTTAATTAATAACATGGTTCCGTTTTAAAAATTGCATATTATTATAAAAGTTTATGGTAAACGACCTAGCCTCTGGGCTTTAAGTAGAAAAAAATAGTTTATTTTAGGCAACTCAATATTGTACCTATTATAGTTTCAATAACAATAAAACTTTTAGTTAATATATAATATACTTTTAAGAATTTATACAACCCGAGAAGTCCGATAAAAGTTTCTTGTACGTTAATATCTCATTATTATTGTCGCGACTTTTGGTGTTATTTTTTTCTCAGAATGTTATTTCATTTTTGTCATAAATAACACTGTCGTTTCCCGAGTTTCACTGTCCCTACTACTACCTCCACCAACATACAACCACACATACCAAAACAGTATAAAATTAATTTAACCCAGTTCAATAGTTATACTGTATGGTATGTAAATAGTAAAAGCCTCAAACAGTAATTCGCAAAATTATCATTTAATTTACTATTGCTAAAATTATATAAATAGTTGGAAGAAAACATCATCGATACAAGATATTATATGCTATTATTTTTATTGTTTTATTTTTGTATTTTAATAATGCATACTCAACTTTAAATATAGGATACAAGAGAAAAAAACAATGGAGTCCCTGAAATGCTTTTCAAGATATATTTCTAGTTAAAACTAAGATATTTTTAAAGAAATGTAATACTTCAGTTTTTTTTTTTTTTAATAGTGTAGATCTACCCATAATATATAATATTCTATTTAAAATTAAATATTAGTGATATAAACATTATAAAAGGGATTCCAGTAATTTTATATTATAATATAAATAAAATATCGTTAATAATAATTAAAAATGTCAACGTCCATCATAAAAAATTTAAAAGCAAATTAATCAATCGTAGACGACTATCGTACTGTTATAAATATCTTTTCAAAATCAATATTAAATACCATTCGTATCAGCTCCTGGAAGATAGAAAATGCTCTGTAATAATAAGAAACCTACCAATCTCAATGACTGAAGTAAAAATTTACGAAGCACCTTTTGAATTAAAATTCAATCTCACTTTTGTAACTTGCCTACGTCATAACCGTCATAAATCTTCAATTCCAATTGTCATTGCTATCCTGGATAAATCATTTCGTACTCGATCGTCTTCTTCATTGTGTGATAATGGAAGAAAATTGGAAAAATGATAATTCTATTTCTCAATGTCAAAATTGTCAACGTTTCAATCATACTAAAATTTTTTGTAAAATACCATCTAGGTACGTACAATTTCTAAAACTATACTATTAATCCTTATACACCAAGTATAAAAATAGTTCACCTACCTGTTTAAATTTTAAATTGCATAAAAAAATCACCCAGCATACTATAAAGGTTACAACAATTATTAACAAACTAAATATCACAACAAAGTCAAATTTCATGAAAATACGCCTACATATTTACAAGATTTTTCCAAATCTCAAGGGCATTACACTTAACCATCATTAGTTTTCGAATAAAAAGCTCGTTAAGCAAATCTTATGTGGAAAAGCAAAAAAAAAAAAAATAGTAAAAATGGAGCACCGTTAGAAGAACAAATAAATAACATAAATAATATTACTAACGCATTCATAAAATCATTAATGCCTTTTTCCCATTTCTTATCTTTGAAATTATTGATAATAATGATTACTAATCTTTATGATTTATTAAATAATTTTAATGTCAATTAATTTAAATGATTTTAGTGATCTCGTCGTCATTAATTTGAATGTAAATACTATTTAATAAAATTGCAACATTTTTGGCGTATTTCTATCCCATCAAAATGTGATGATAGCTTGTGTAAGCGAGACTCACTTATGTGCAAATGAATTGATTAAATTTAATAAATATTCAATCTGTTGTAACGATCAACTAGCCGTTAGGCCTTTAGTCTGCATCAAAATAAAAAAATCAACAAGCATTTATCCCACCACTGCAATCATTGACAGTTGTTAAAACAATAGTATCAATTAATAATATAAATACTATTATAGCATACCAATATCCTAATTATAATATGTACATAAACGACTTAAATTAAATCTTAAACAACTGCAATAAGATTATTATTAAAGGTTACCTATATATTAAAAACACGTAATCTGGAAATAAGACAACAAACCTTAATGGACCAGATAGGCCTACTTACTACCTAAATGATCCGAATAAAAGTGCAGATACTCTTATTTTAGCCGTTGTTTTACTAAAATCAACTTTTTTTAATAATTAATCAGGAATCTTTATTCGAATTAAATTCAGATAATTTATCAGTTAGAATAACAATAGACGTATTATTAACGCACTAGAATCAACTCAAAACTTTTTAAACGGACAACCAGAGAGCAACAAATTCAAGCGATATATATATCAGATAATATGAAAATGCCCAAAAATATTTCCAATACATTAAAGTCGATGAGACAATATCTTACCTTCGAAAACAATCTCCAAAGCTGCAGAATTGTGTACAATGGCCTCAAAATACACACTTGATAATAACTTCAAATCTAAAACCACTACATCAGTTCAAAAATTAATAAAGAACAAAAATAACATAAGAAAACAATAGAAACTTCACAAAAGATCAAGAGAAACTACATTTTTTTATTAAAAAAAGTCAAAATACTACTTGAAGAACTGAGAATGAACTCAAATCAAAAATATTAATCTCCGATATACCCTGCAGATTATAATCGTTGGTTAGCAACCAAAAGATTAATTGAACTCAACAGCAAAAACAATTCTTCCATTTAAGTCCGGAAATAATTTTATAAATAATGTTCATGAAAAATGTAATTTGTTTGTTATCACCTAAGAAAATACCTTCACTCTTAACGCCCTAAATGATAACGCAACTAACAACTTGGCGTTCCAGACTAATAAGTGAATTAGAAATAATATCTAATATATAAATATATATATTCGTACAAAAATCCATCAAAAATATCAGAAAATTCAGAAATAATAAAAAACTGTCTTACCGTTTAATCCGGATGTGACCTAATCGCTAATTCTACAATAAAGAAACTGCCAAAAATGAATTTGTATTTATGACAGTTTTATATAATGTTTCATTAAAATTGAGCTATTTTTCAAAGGATTAGAAAAAAATACACAATAATAATGATAAAAAACCTGGCTATGATAATACTGATCCAAATTAATACATGTCCATCAGGTTATTATCATTTGTTTTAAAAATATTAGAAACACTTTTCCTCTTCAAAATTACTAGTCATTTAAACGTCTAATTTAAAGTTATTAACGTCTGAAACAATATTGTATCTATGAAATCTCAAAATCTACATGACCTGTTAGTTTTATTTTAAACCAAATCATTCGTCGACTCAATACAATTTTCAATTACAGAACACATAATTAATGTGTTCAAAAAATAGCAACTCACCTTGGCTTTTCTAAATATTTCTCAAGCGTTCGACATGGTTTTGTATGATGGACTGATTTATAAATTAAAATGCCTTACACATCTACAATTATCTTTAACATCATTAGATTTTTCTAAATTTTCTAAGCTTCACCGTTTAATAGATGTCACTAACTCAGATATCAAATAAACTAATGTAGGTGTACCACAAGAATTTGGATTATCTTCATTAATTTTCAAATAATTATACATATCTGACTTCCTCATAACAATAAACTTAGAAATAGCTCTATATGCAGACGATAGTGTCGTAATTATTTTGACGAAATCTAAAAATGGATGCAAAGATGGAAAATTGTCCTAAATCCATTGAAAAGCACAGCAATTCTTTTCAATAAATGCAGACCCAAAAACTATAATACTCTAAAGCTTAACAGATTTAATATCGCATATTCACATAATATTAAATATCTTTGAGTAATATCGAATAAAAATTCATCTGAAATCTTCACCTACTTTCCAAATTATATCAAAAATACCAACGTTTAAAAATATTTTATCC